TTTTGCACAACAGTAAAATTGAACACTGTGTAAAGGAATCAGATTTTTCAATGCATTTAATAATTATTTACTTCCATTATTTTGGTTTCTTGATTTACGGAGGCACTTAACATATCTTTACACACTGACAATTAAAAAAGTATACGTGCTGGAGCAGGGCAGTTTCATAAGGATTTTCGTCTCGCTCACAGGTAATGAGCTAATAGAGTATTCAGTAGTATTTAAATGAGACTTGTCGTAGTATGCACACTCAGTAATCTGATTGTGTTTCAAGTACTGTGATTGGTTTTCTCTCTTCGGATTCCCCTGCCCCGTGTTGGGATTGAGGTAATATAGTCTGCTACACATAACGCTCCTTCTCACTAAAAACGCTCTAAAAACGGCTGTGTAGCAGACTATGCCTGCTTTTATCCTCCTTTACCCACGGTTATCGATTGACCTCGGATAGCCTCCCACGCAGGCGTTTTTTATCCCTCCACTGGGGTGTGATGACGAACCCATAAAAAACCTGCGTGGGAAGCTACCTCAGATACAGAGGGACTGGGAAAACGCCGTACAGGAACAAGATGGCTGGAGGGCTGACGGGCGATCATTTCGAAACCCTTTCAAATGCGGGAAATGTTTGATAGATATCATTTGGTAGGATAAAACCCAACACTACATTTAAAACAACGGTTTCGGGTATTTTTCAAATTCGTTTTGCAGAATTTTGGAGCTCGATCGAGCGACTTTAACAGCTCGAAAAGTCGTTTAAAGAGAACTCTGAGTTTCCAACCCAATAAATGAAGTTAATTTTGCTTACAAAGACAATAAAAAGAAAATGTTTGGAAGAATTTATCTACAGGTTGATCCAAGTAATGAAAAGACAAATAAGTGAAGACAATTAAAACGCTCACCTAATGAAGCCCGTCTGCATAATGCTAGCGACTAACTATAATTATTATATAAGAGCGTTGCATGCTCCAGACAACAAAAACAATCTACATTTATTTTCACTTGGGGTAGAAATTTTTACTTTTCGATGATTCATTTTTTGATGATTCATTTAAACCGTTGTGGTCACGGAAAGGATAGATTAACTAGGTTGGCATGCTTGAAAACGCTGTAAAGACGATCATGATGCATGAAACGATCTTTATTTGCGCATAATTCTATTTACATTTGTATTTGCAAAAATATGGAATCTGTAACTTAAATTTTAGCTTCCATAATTTCTTACATGTATTTTTGTCCCTATCCAAGAATGAATATTAATTTTTGTCGTGTCTCTTTTCTAACAGCAGGTATTTTTGAAAACACATTTCCACAGGTCAAAATTGGTTTAAATGCAACTTTAACCTTTAGTTGGTAACTTATATCGTGGGTGGAACGAAGGGGCTAGCTATGATGTCTATAAATAAAATTATGATTCCTTGGTAATTCAATAGTAACTACATTAATGAGAAAATATTGTATTGATGAATTATAATTTTCATATTTAACAATTAATAAATGAATAAATATCCTAAATAGTGGGAAATAGTGGACAGGGAATAGAATAAACGATCTTTTATGGCCCAAAATAGACATATAAAATTACTTCATAGGCTCAAAGGGGCTGAACACAGGAAAAGTCCTAGAAAAAAAGGAACTTGAGTGCGAAAAGCTCAAGTGAAGATGGACGAAATTGCTGCAGACAAGAAGTCCTGGGAAGGTGACAAGTCACAATCGTCTCTTAGGATACATAGATACCTATGGCGAAGCAGTGTTTGTCAAACTTTACAAAAAGGTAGAAGCTTACTAAGCTTTCAGAGGCTTATGGACTTGAAGTCAGGAGTAGGGGTACAAAGGCAGATATAGGAAAAAGATCTTGTTTACTGCCATGAGGAGGGCTGACTCCATGCTAAATTATCATTGCCTGGATAATCTTACTGCACAGGTTGAAATAGATGACACTAGCCAGCATATCCGCATCAGGTTTATCAGACAATAGGTAGTAAAACAGGACCCACCTGGAAGACCTTAGAAAAATATTATTTGCAGGAACTTAATGCTAATTTTGTCTTAAAGGCCCACTCTGTTTCACACTATGAAAGTGTAGTTTTTGGTCTTTGATTGCTATCACTGATAGGAGTATAAAGCCACTTGTGGCAGTGGTACCACTGTTACTTAATTGGCTAACCTTGAGACTGCATGGAGCTGTCCTAATTCTTTTTATGTAAAGTTAGTGTTCTCTTGAGTAAAAGGGTTTCCATAGGTATAAATTTGAATTGTTCCTAATAATGTTGCTGTATCACTGCACCACTTAAGACTTAGCTTTAATAACAACAATGTGTGTAAGTCAATTAATTACAACAATATTCCAATAATTATTATCCGTGAGACACTGCAATCAAAGTCTCAGACTTTCTTTTTTAACACGTAACATTCCTGCATTGCTTTTACGACTTATGGTGGTCTGTCCATGCCTTATAGAGCTTTTGACATGCCTCTTGAAGGCGCCACGTTGGGTTGTTATTCTGACCATTACAGGAGCGTACCTGGCAGAAATGGTTCTCTACTATCCTGGTTTATTATGGCGGGTTTTTATGGTTGCATTTTGAATGCTTTCAGCTTTGTGGCAACCATTTCTTGAAAACCATAAATCATTGATTGCAAGTCGAAGTACAGCAGCTTCTCAGAGATAAACTTCTTCCCATCCCCACCCTTGCAGTCTTCCACTGGCTCAGGAAATTTAGGAAGGAGCTCAGTTCTTGTAATCTTTCGTCGTTTAGGCTTGAAATGGTGAGTTTATCATTGAACAGCTGGATCATCTTTTGAGCTGTGGCTCAGCAACAGTATAGTTGAGTCTACGCTCTCTCCATCCTGCCCAGGTGTACTCATTAGATGCCTCTTGTATGCCTAAAGTAGGTCAAAATTTCTTAATGTTAAAGTTTTTAGTAGGCTGGGATTTCAATATATTTGTATAGGGTTAAGGGGTAGCTAGACCAAGTAATTTACCAAATTTTGCTAAACATACCAGGCTGAGACTAAAGTACAGGTCACAATCCACAGGTCCTCCAAACATTACCATAGTCACTTTTCCATCAATAGATTTTCATAACAAATGACACATAGTACTGTAGTTTCTCCTGAGATTTGGTAAAGAGATTTTTGCTGGTACTGCATGTTTATCTGTAGCTGATGCATAGTGACCTGTAGCTGTTACCTGTGGACATGAACTGTACTTGCGGTACGACATCATATATTTACACCTAGAAAAGGAAAAAAGTCAATGGATGTACAATAAAATTTAAAAAGAAAGATGGAAAAGTGAACTGCTGTAACAAAGCAAATTTGATGTGGCATGCTTTAATAGCTAGTGTTTATACAGAAACAAAGGACTTTAATTATTACTTAAGAACATTATGTATGAGTTTCAAAAAGCAGCTTCCTAAATTGGCAGCTAAAATATGCAGCATGTGGTTTCTAAAGGAATGCTCCATGTACATACATACATATAAATTAATATTATTGTTATAAGTTGTCAGATACAAATTGAATTCAGGATCAGAGGGATGCATTTTTACATATATTAATATTATTATGTAGCTTAAATGTCGTTGCAGAAAATATTGTTACTGGTATTTCTGCAAGTCACATATAATAACTGGTAATAGAAGAATGTAACCTATAATTGTACTGTAACTGTCTGAACAGTTAATCAGTCAATAAAATGTCTATTTCGCTCAATCACTCTTTACAAGGTTGTTTTGCAATTGTTGACATTACCAACCTTCATTAAACTTAACATGTTCTGGTTAAGCACCTCTTCTATAAGTGATTCCTCATTTTGCTGCTGGGTTTAAGTAAAAGTGTTCTGCTTTGAGCTTCTCATGAAGAGACATTGAAATTCCCTTGATCATAAGCGGGAAGGCATTGATAAAGTGTTCCCATACAATAGGCTTGTTGTTCCATTGAAGACATTTAGTTGATTCGCTTGTCTTTTCAAGTGAGCTCTTGAGAATATTATTTCTTGGTTTCTTAATATTATGCTGAAATGGAAAAAAATATATTGTTCCAAAAGCCAGCATTAATTTAATAAAGGAAATGATTTACAATTGCAAGTTGAATATATATATATTTGGGGTGCTGTGGGCATACAATCAGATCCAAGTGGATTGTTGGCTTTCAACCACATGAAAAAGGCAGCTATGTTGGTGGTGTGTTGGTGGTCAATACAATATAACTTTTCTCGAGGACTGTTAATGAAAATAGGGTATAGTTCCCACAGGAGAGAAATGCTTTTTGTTCTTAATGCTAACACACCACAAGCATGCACGGCCACCATATGATGTCACGTGCAAACCAGCAATTAGCATGCATTGCCATTCTGTTCATCATTTAAAAGGTAATCCATAATTAGATGTTCCTCTTTTGGTAACAGTTATCTTTTATAGTTGACTACAGAGGGGGGTACCTACTTTCAGTATTATACATTGGTCTCAGTAAGTGTTATCAGGCGCCTTGATTTCAGCTTGGCTGATAACACTTACCTCATCATTGATTAGTCCAGATATCACAAAATCCTCATCCAATAATGGTTTATAACATTTTGAATGGATGTGACAGTTTTTACCTTGGGATCCATTATGAAAATCATGGGGCAATTGCCGTTATAGATATTTGGGGTCATAAACTTGTCTTTTATGGCTTCAGTTACATCAACAAAGTGCAGCTTAATGAATTGGCGGTTCACTTCTGCACCATCAAGTATACAATAATACACCTAGCAATCAAGGAGATATCAACAAGACATGAATATTATACACTCTCTGTTCTACAGGAATCCAACAACAACCTTTCTTTAGAAAATGATTTGTAGCTCAGTGGAATTTTCTCCACCATTAACCTCCTCCTTTCTTTACAAGAGACCAATGATTGCACACTATAATTAAATTCTCTGAAATATCACATCAATGATCATACAAATAATTTGGTAATGAAATAATACAGTTATTAAGATATTTACGTAAATCCAGTTTCAAGCATCTTTTGACTCCTTCCCAGAAAATAAAATACAGTGTACTAGCAGTACAGCCACCAGATGGAAACTGTGCGATCGGAAACCTGAACCCACTATCTCCCAGGAAGTAAAATTGCAGGACATGTGTTGCCATCTTAGGTTCATCTGCCTTTCCTACAATTCATTAAATGAAAGCATGTCATTTCACTTGATGATAATTATTTCATTTTAATGTACATGTATATGTCTACCATTTTCTTTATTTTCCCTAGTATTTGGCTGAAGAAAATGATGCAGTCAAAATAGGACAGTCCCTCATTACTGATTGGCAAGAAGAATTTTTTTTTTTTAAAGAATAACTTTTTCTGTTACTTTCTAAAACATGTAGATGACTTTTTGGACAACTATGTACTTTTGAATTGACTTCAGAAACTGATGATTTTATTGTAACCTGCATTATTGAAAATTGTTCACCTGACAATGCTTCCATGTCAGAGTGGATCTTTCCCAGATCAACAAAACCGCTCAAGTGGTGTTTGCCGTCTTTGATGACCAGCTCTATGTCCTCCTGGCAAAAATTCAGTTCAAATATATTAATATCACATGTTATTTCTGGTACATTGTTGACTTCCTTTTTTAAAAATAACAATGTATCTCTTACCTGGATTGTCATCTCATCAAGGACAAACCCTCCCCAGTAATCCTCTGGCTTGAGGTTATTCTTTTCTGCTTCTTCCATGCATAACTTAAGCATGTTGGCATTCCAGCCAGGCTGTTGTCCTCCCTTATTCTTTTGATATCTTAAAGATTAAATAAAATATAAAAATCAACATAATTGTCACTGGGTTGCAAGCAATATGTGTCCTCTATTGAAGTTGTTATTGCACACTTTCTTTTTACTAACCTTATTGCCCGATTACTTGGCAGGTAGATAACCTCACGAAGTGTGTCAAGCACATGCGGATTTTTGACATAGAGTTCAATACAAAGTTTCATGATTCTAAAAATAAAAAAAGGAAAATGTTGCAATGCATCTTAAAGAAACTACTTATTTCATGTAGTTATTTATTTCAGAATAGCAATGTGAAATTAATTTATCCTCTGTTCCTATGCATGTCCATGTTTATACAGGGAACCAGGTGACCAGAATCTTTTTCTAACCCTGCAATTAATTTGCAAGGGAAGAGGTCATTTCCATATTTTAAAAGTCACCTGGATGCTGATGATCATCTAATGTGTAAGCCCTCGGAAGCAACCAATCACAATTTGGACCCCCATGGTGAGAAAATGAAGGATCATGATCAGATATTCTAAAAATGACCAGTGATAGTGCATCTGATTACTTAGCTACTTACTTAGGATGCCATCTGTAACGTCTGTTGTTTGGTGTTTCCAAAATCTTTTTTTGTTCCTCCCAAAACAGGAGCATGTCATCAGGCACGTCTTTCTTCTCAACATTTTTCAGAATGCTGAACAAGTCCTCATGGTCTTCCACGTCAACTTCTAGCATCTCGGTCTGAATATTCTCTCTCTTCTTATTCTCTGCTGTTCGCAGTTTCTGTAGATGTTCGACTTTAAAGAGGAGCTGCTCCCTTGACATGTACTTGTGGTTGCAGCTCTGTGGAATAAGGGGTCTATCCTTGCATTCTTCCTGACGAGAGTGTTTTCTTCTAAGATTATCCTTAGTTTTGCTGCAGATGGAACAGCATTCCCCTTTACTGTTGGACAGGAGTTTGCAATTAGAAGAAAACCCTCTCATCTGTGTTTCTTCGATACCATCCTCAGCGTATGTAACAGAGTGCTTTGATACTGGGTCCCCATGAACCTCGTCTGTTTCTTTCACTACGAAACCCTGGCAGACATAACTTCTATCAATGTAGTCCATCCAAAGTTTTATTTTGGCCTGTATGGACTCTGCATGAAATATTTTCTCCATGGAATCGATATCCCCCCTGGGCATTTGCCGCTTCTGGTAAGTGATGTTGGTGATGATTTTGCCAGATTCTTTGCGCAGGTTAATGTCAGTAATCACACTCTGATTGTCAAAGCGGACATTTTCAACGCGAACGAAGCTCATCGAGTCTGGCGTATGCTTGACAACACTCCACCCGGGTTTGGCGAGCTGCTGAGCATTTGTGTACATATGGCTCCAAGTGTCGGCTTTCGTTTGCGTCAGAGTTTCAGTTCTTTTTCTGAGGCCCTGGAATACTCTAGTACGCACCTTTTTATCACCCATCTTCAAGCGCTTTCTGACGCTCTTCATTTCGAAGAGTTCGGCGATTGCTCGGCTGACATATATAACAATACTAACAGACGACTCTGAAGTCCCGTAAAAATCTTCATGTACAACTCCTTCTTTGATTTCGTCGACCAATACTGTATCGCTTTTCTCGCTCCTTTCATAGTTTTTCAGAATCCTGGAAAACATATAATGACATTTTAAAAACATCGCATTCAGATTTTTGTCTCACTCAGCTGAATGTATGTGACCATTTCCGAACGCGAAGGCGACTAAATGCAACCTCGGTTTACTTACCAAGCTTTCAAGGAGGAATAGAAGTTTGGACTTTTTTTTTCTACAGGACCAGGTTCTAAGTCTCCAGCAGGAAAAGGACGTTTCTTCCTTGATAGCGACATTTCTATCAAAATGGGGTGCCTTGTAACTCGGCACGGAGTCTCCTAGTTATATTTATTTTTTTAGCCATTTAAATTTAGGCGCGTGTGCGGGGTTTGCTCTGGCGAATTGTGATTGGCTAGGAAGAACAATTGCCTTCTATCAAGTATTTTTCCAGCAGGGAGGGTGGCTTTGGGCAAATGATGTATCGGTCCCTAGAAAGGTCACCCCAGGACTCCCAGGATGGAATTTTTTGTACAGTGCCCAGGCCTCATTTTCTTGGCCGCGCGTTGATCTGGCCCGGCTGCTTCGGCGAGCGTATTCTCGGTGTGTTTGGATTATATTCTTCGAGTTTGTCCAAGTCTGTGGGATTCGTTTCTCTATCTGGGAAAGCTTCATTGGTTTCTATATGTGCTGCTATCCTATTTCTACGATCCTGGCATGTTTATTTTCCGTTGGAGTTCGAATTTCGTGGAAAAAGTTGTGTTGAATGAGAGCATGTCGTCGAAAATGGCACCTCGTGTTTCCTACCTTGTATATTATTATTGTAGATAGAGTGAATTTGAACAAATTACTGCAAATTATCACGAAACTTCGTTGGAGCAATAAGGACAACAACAATTAACTGCAGAGTAAGTTTCATTGATCTTTATTTAGTATTTCCTAGAAATTTTAGGATGATATTTTTACCCCATACAAACACTGTAATTTTACTGGAACCGTACTGTGGTACTATCACAGAGCCTGGGCTACCTGTGAGCTCACGAGTTCAGAATAATCGCCCGTGGCCTACGACTCAAGCGTTGTCTTTCTGGTCATTGCCAGAATTAAAATGTAGCGTAGTTCCATATTGTATTGAATGTATTGAAGGTCGCGGACCTCAAATAGAATCAGGCGAATGTTGCTAAATAAAAGCGTTGGTTCAAAATGTTTATTATGTATAACCCGCAGTCCGTGAACACGCAGCATACTACTCATCGTAAAAGAAAGATAGATGCCAAAGCAAATTGCAATCATTGATCTCCAGTTTTGTGACCTTTTGTCTGCCAAAGTGCCACGGAAATTAGTGCGGGACCTAGTGATACTACTGGCGAGATTAGTACTTCATCCAGCCCCAGCTTCCCAGAAACTCCAGCTGAAAGGATACGAGCATCGAAGAAAGGGAAACGAGCTTCGAAACGCAAAGCGCCTGATAATGAGAGCGACGATGAGGCTCTAAAGGATGTGAGGCAGCAGGGGGAGAAAGTAGCAAGCTTCTTGGATTCTTTGCAACAAACACACACGCAGCAGCTTGCCATAATGAGTCAGTTTATGGGATCAATTGTGAAAATCCTTGACAAGGAACAGAATGAGAAATGAACTTTAATTCAAGACTATTTTTGACTCTTGAGAGACAACCATCATCATGTTCATTGTTTATGTTACGAATAGATGAAACGGAATTATGGAAACAAATGAAAGTAGTTTTAACTGATTTTTTTTATTGTGAAGACAGAAAATAATCCTTATGATACACTTTTGAACAATAACAATAGCTATTTAACTGCTGAAAATATTTATACAGTAACGGAAATCGTTTCTAATGATTCAACATACATGTCAAGCACAAATTACAATGCAATATTTTTCATAGTATTTGATCGTTGATTTTCTTCTATTTTCTTTGTGAAAAATCAAACACAGCAAACGTTCAAGGTCTAAGGATGAAACAATTAAAACCCGTTTGAAAAAAAAAAAAAAAACAGACTGTCTTTTAGCAACTCTCTTATATCTTCCCCGTCCTGCATGAAGTCATTGTTCTGTTCGTTTCCGCGGTCATCATCGTAATCGTAGAAATCATCCTCCCATTCGTCCCCAACATTAATGCAAAAGTTATGCAGCACTGCACAAGCAATGGAAATCTTCACCGAGAAAGTTATTCTGCTATCCAACCGCTTTTGTAGAATTCGCCAACGACTTTTGAGGCGGCCAAAAGCGCACTCGATGGCTACTCGTGGAGATGACAGTTCCTTGTTAAAAGTTATCTCGCCAGGGTCACGCGTGGCTTCTGGATAAGGCTTCATAAGCCATGGGGAAATAGAGTATGCGTTGTCTCCTACCAGGTAAGGGCGAATATCTGTAATACCGATTCTTTCAACCGGTTCTCTGAGTATGTCTTCGTTGCTTGCTCTTTGATAAAGAGAGCTGTTTCGATATACCCTAGCGTCGTGAAGACTTCCTGGATAACCTGCAGCAAAGTCAAGGAATAATCCCTTACCGTCAGAAACGGCTTGAATTATAAAATCATGTTGCTGATTTCGACTAAAATAATCAACAGCACTGTCTCTGGGAGAAATTATTTTGATATGGGTCCCATCTATGGCTCCAACAATGTTTGGAAGTCGTGATTTGTCCGTAAATGTCTCTATACACCTCATTGTCTCAGCCACCGTTGTTGGGAATTTAATGTACTCGTTCCTCATTTCATAAAGAGCTTCGACGACATCTTGACAAGCCTCTGTTGCTGTAGTTCTACCGACGTTTAGCGCAGGTTCTATTGTTTCGTACGAATTTCCATGTGCAAGTCGAAGCAAACCACAAGCAAGAACCTTTTCCGGAGTGAGACAATTTCGCAGTATTGTATTCTGTCTTGTCAGCCGGTTGCGAATTACGTTGAGCAACAAATCGAAGCTTTCTCTGTTCATTCGTAAAAGCCTTCGGAAGTAGTCCCCTGGTATTGTCCGATCAGTGTAATGGATCTCGAACCACAATTCGACTGGACGAGGAAGAGTCCAATAATATGGTGCTCTTCTTCGATAACGATTTTGTCGATGGCGAATTCGTCGTGTCAATAACAAGTTTTGTGTTCGTAAATTCTGCATAAATAACAGGCACCATATCATTAAATTGATATTTGCCTGCTGCTGAAGAACCAGAAAAAAGTAGAAAACAATCACTGCGAGAATTCTCCGTGGTAACACTTTTTTAGATCCCTCGTGTCGCGGTTTTGTGGATGTAAACAGCGAGTAAAGGCAGCTTCGCGGGAAATCGCGGGAAATCACAAGGTGCTCACAGCATGGTGTTGTGTTTTGTTCACAGATTTTGTTCTGAAGTGCGACTGCAGCTTTCCGGACAAATTTTTTGTCACTGGCCGATTTCAAGTCGGATTTGTCTAGAACAAATCTAAAATTGCCCTCTAGTGCGACTTGGCCCTTAGTTTAACTGCAGACATTATGTAGTGGCACAAAGAAGCCAGTCAATTGATTGGTAAAAAAACAACATGCTAATGATATTGAAAAATATTGAGCTTGAAATACTCTCCTCTGATATTAAACCTACAAGTCACATTTACAAAGCGATTGAGTTTTAAAACGACATTCAAAGAACACAGCATCATAATGTATTTAAATCATGCTTCTGCTAAAGACGTGATAAATACACAAAACCAGTGTCAGATGTGGATATATTTAAGGACGTGCTGTGTACAGCTGAACATTGTTCTCTGAGATCGCGTAAACCTAAACTTTACAAAGATATTAAAAGCAGATACCCTAAGATAACAGCCGCTATGGAAAAATTATTATATTTTGAGTAGACAAATCTCATAAACGGGCCACAAATTCAACAGGAATACGCGCGAACTGAATAAATTGTCTGTTGTACATTTTAAAGGTTCTGCTCAACTTACATAATTTTCCCTTGCTGAACATAAATTGTACCGAGCCGTGTCTTGGTCCGCTATATATAAGCTATATCATGGTTGAAATGGAGCAATATAAAAAAGGTTTTCAAAGGTTTCACGCCGGTGAAGATGTGCGGCCTGTCACCTCTTGCAAGTTTTGACTGTGTTTTTAGACACGGTTGAATACAAAGGCACAAGATTCAAGGAAAAATCTATCCTTGATGTAAAGACACAT